GTACAATCCAGTCGAGGCGCAAATTGCAATCCACCTCAGGCTGCACCTCAGTACAGTTGCTTTGATTGATCATGGGCTCGGTGGCTTGACGGGGACCTCGGGCACGCCATGCTAGTACTGTAGTAGTAGTACTAGCAGTGGACGATCACATGGCGGAGATGGTGTATAACAGGCCCATGGAGCACGTTTATGAGAGAGAGAAAAGTTTCTTGTTGGGATACCGCCTTGTTACAGTCATGAAGTAGTGAGGGTAAACATAAGAAACCACTCCAAGAGGACGAGAGAGGGGTGCTGTCAACTCGCGAAGTAGGCTGCGCAGTACACCACACTGCAGCATCTGTTTGGATGCGAAAAGGGGGGTGGAACTTGGAGCTTCAGCTTGAGACACATGGAGCGATTGGGTAAATGTCGAGAGGCAGGAAGAAATAGGTTCGGGCAAATCTAGGAAGTCCCGGCAAACATGGATCGTGGGATGGAGTGAGATGTCGAGCGCAAGAAATGAGCCATGAGGAGAAGGCAAAGGATGGAGGAGGAAGCTGTGACTGCGTCACTCTTAACGACGGAAGATGGGTGGTTTGAGTTCTAACTTCTCGTCCAGAACAAAACTAGAATGCAAAGAGAGAAAAGGCGGGGTGTGGTTTGGGCTCATGTAGGTCCGGGGAGTAATGCCAGCGGCCAAACGCCATATCTCATCAATCGTCGAGATAGGGTACCACGACAGGTTCAAAAAAGAGGCACAACGAGAAGGCCAAGGGGAATGGTGGAGGAGACTGCGAGTGCTTTACGGGAAGATGTGTGGCTTCAAGAGCTCCCGTCCGTTACCGTATACGGCAGCAATTGCGGAGATTGGGATGCAGCATTGCGATACGAAGACCCTGCGACTCGAGTAACATCTCAATGGATGGAAAAGGCCGAGGCAGAATGAAGGAAAGGCGGGGAGAGGATATCCTGCCAAAGACGAAATGAATGGCGATAAATGGTGGAAGGAAAGAGCCACGAGTAGAAGGCCAAGAGGATGGAGGGACGAGGAAGCGGAGAGATGTAGCTGGGAGACAAGGAGGAAAGGTGCTGCCAAACGCGAAATAGATGGTCAAGATGCATTATCGTAATGTGGAGCCGCGAGGGAACCAAGAGGATGAAGGAGTGGTTTGGGCTTTCGTCCGTTACCGTGAACAAAACGTCGAAGTTGCAAGAGCTGCTCAGGTAGCACGTTGAACATGGGCAATTGGAACACTGGCACAGCACTCTGGAGGTCAAGGTGTACGGATTGCGCAAGTCGGATCCCAAGGGGGTAGAGATTCGAATTCTGGATGCTGGGTAGATGTATGGGAGAACGTAGGATGTGCCGCCCAATATGCACCTATCAAGCCACAGTGCTTGGATCCGGGATCTCTGGATGACCACTCCTAGATATAAAGTTAATGTGTGCTCGAGCATGTTGGCATGAACAAGTAGTTCTTCTCAAGAAGGGAGAGCCGTTTTGGGGCTATGTGCGATACGACCTGTGGATAGCGGGTTGGGGTGTATGCTAGTGTCGTTTGGAAAATGAAGATGTCGTGGACGTCCAAGCAGGTGTGGGCCCAGTCAACGAAGAAACGCCCAAAAGCGCATCAATTTCACAACACCCATCAAAACAACCAACGTATAGTCCGGCATCTGTACCGTGCTCCCACCCCTCCCCACATAACCACCCTCCCGACTACACCGTGGTGCGTGAGCGGGATACCACTGAACGTTGGCCTGGCCGAGGCGGAGGAGACACCTGACACTGGAGCCCAGGCGCACGGAAGAAAAGTACCTCTTTAAAGGAATGGTCGTAATAAGGGATCGACTTGGTTTATCTTCATAGTAGTGGGACTAAGCTCGTGACAAGACAAATACTCAAAGAGAAAGAACATACACGAACGATGCACAACCCCCTTCCGCGCGTCTTCCACAGCGAAATGCATCATCTCTTCCTGGTTCTCATATGCATTCCCGAGGATCTCCTTCGCGATAATGAGTTCGGGCATGAGATTTAGCACATCCTGCAGGACGAGTTTGTGCGCCAACACGAGGTTTGCGTGGATAGAGTATTTGGTGTGTGATGAGGGTGAGCAGGACAGGATGTCCGTTCCCAGAGTCCAGCAGGACAATTCGCCCGAATTTGGGAGTGAGGGAGAGGGTGTGAATGGGCGGCGGTTTGTCCGACGTCGGCTCGAGCCACATCTTCGTCCAAAGGCTAGCTAGTTTGGAGAGGGGTTAGTATTCGATCTCTTGGGCGACCCATTTCAGGCGGCGTCGAGTTGATTCTTCAACGCGAGAGTTGGGAGTGAGTACACCATTGTCCTCTGCGGACACTTCGTCTGCATCGGTGTGGTCCATGGCCTTGGACCTCTCATCCGCCCTACGCTCTGCACCGCACACCCCACGTCCTTGGGCAACCTGACCACCTCCCTCGTAATCCTGGATGCTAATCGACAACCCTCCCCATTAGTCGTCACGCCCACTTGCAAGGGCCTAGGTTCTTTCGCCGTCAGGTGCAAAAACTGAAGAGAGGAATTTAAAAGTGGGAAAGATCGATTTGTCGAGTTGTTCTACAGATGCCCTAGGCCTGAGGGGCGAGGCTAAGAGAGTGTCCGTGATCCAATGTCTGTACGTCCCGTAAGTCAAGCATTCAAATCAACAAGCTGATCGATCCCAGTCTATCAACTCCAGTTGGCGTTCCTGGACGCGCCATTAACGTTCCTTGCATGATGCTGAACGCAGGTCGCCTTTTGGGAGAACGTATACATGTGAAGCATCAGCTTCGAGAGCCGCGAATGCGTACCGATCCTATGATAAGGATTCCCTCGAAGTTGCACGACGAAAAGAAAGAATGAGGGAGGCGCTCGTATATGGGTTTGGAGGTGGCTATATGCGTACAGTAACAGTGATCCCAAATTTTAGCAGGAAGAAGGCAGGCGGCGTGGGGAGCATTGGAGGTCGTTATATGTGCGAAGAGTGAAATTTGGCGACTCGTCGTAGTAGTGGAGAGAGACAACGACCAAAACAAATGCCGAATTTGATCAACGTCAACATCATCCTCGACCACCATCATCTCCCCCAACTTTGCTAGCTTACTACCTACCAAATCGCCTGCCTCGGATAGGAACTTTGGAGGTGGCTAGATGCATGCAATATCAATACTAGTCCGAGGATTAAACGAGGCAGCGTAATCGATCCCAAGCTCCTCGCCGCGATGGGAGGAAGGGCCGTGCCCCCAGAGGAACCTCTGCTCTCGACTTTCGAGGAGGGCTTTGGATACATCACCTCTGCTGCAGTTGGACTTTCGCTAAATGAGTATCAGCTCGTCCGCAAAGTGCGCTTGTTCGAGCCCTTTTTTAATCATAAAATTAGCTGGGTTGGGCTGCCAACTCCTCCGTGTGGCTCGCGCTGTGAGTTGGCTGGTAATACGTTTACTACTAGTCTTCTAAACATCAATACAGCGACCACTCGGCGGACACAAGAACCTTCGTTGCCTTGAAAATCTTAACGTCGCAAGCCTCTGCAACAATTGTCGGGGGTCATTCACCAGAGAGAGATGTATTCCGGAAGATCGAATCTGCCAACCCCAACAGCCCCGGATTCAACCACTGCTTGACTCTCCAACGTTGTTTTATTGCCAGCAGCGCGGCCGGCGGTCACATATGCTTCGCGACGGAGCCGTTGAGCTCGAGCGTAGCAAACTTTCGAGTGCCTGGGCAGGATTGGCTCGCCCTGCCCATTGCGAAGCGCATCACAAAACAGGTCCTTCTCGCTCTCGACTACCTTCATCGTGAATGCGGATATATTCACACTGGTGGGTCTGATCCTGCACACATCCTTATCCATGCTGATGATCATATGTGAAGATCTCAAATCCGAGAACGTCGTTCTTTCAATACCTGAACCAAGGGCGTCTCGAATAAGCAAACATCAAGTCGGAGTCTGCATTGATTTATGGCCCTCCCCTAAACCTAAAATCATTGGATTTACCTCTTGTCTTTGCACTTTCACAGTCTCTACCGTACTTTAGCCTTTGTGAATCTATTGAGGATATATCGGTGTGACTGATGGATTACAGCGAAGGTGCGCACATCTTGCCTTCTACTTTTACTCACTCTTACCGATGATACATCAACAGCCACTCCCGTCGACGCGCCCAGGAGAGAGTTTCTTCGTTAACCATCTCTAATCCGCGCCCCCGAAGTCACCCTCAGATATCCTTGGACGTCCGCCATCGACATCTGGACTGTCGGTTGCCTTGTACGTTGGTTACCTATATCGCTCCGCTGATACTGAATACATCCTATCCAGTTGTTTGAGCTTCTCACCAATTTGTCCCTTTTCGGCCAGGACGTTCATAATTACTCACATGAACTCCATTTGCAGTATATCGTAGAGGCTTTAGGGCCGTTCCCACTTGAATTCCACAAAGATTGCGAGGATCGGGACAAATACTTTGATGAGAAAGGTGAGTGTAACTTCATTTGATCTGATCATACTCTCCTCGACGTTTAATGACTTTCTTCACTTGGGCACGCTTCTTCACACAACCAGCGAATCTGAAATATCCTCGCTTGAAGTCCCTTTGCGAGAGCTTAAAGTCGTTGACGAGAGCGAGATTCTAGGCACTGCTGCATTCTTACGCAGATGTTTGATATTAGATCTGAAGTTGCGTCCGAGTGCCCAAGAGCTACTAAAAGATGGGTGGCTATTGTAAATTTCGGCCCATTACTACTTTGAGTACCCCTTTTGGCTATGCAGCTAGACATTCGATGATGATTCGAACGAAACTCTCTAGGCCCTCACCTGAAAAAGGGTTTGGTTCATCGTACTAAGTATGTTCTCAATGTCTACTGTTTTCAAAGAAAACGTGAGTTTTATGGGTGATTGGCTTGTAGAGCAGTTGACAGCTGTGTAATTATATATCGATTGAATTTTGATGTACTTGGACGCACATCCTTTCTCTACTCCGCAGGTCTCCGCCTACTTCACCATCCCGGCAAAGTATGACGAACACAGACGGCAAGAAAGAAGACTACTACGTTCACGACAGCTGAGCGCTGAGCTCTTTTAGTCCTGGCAAAGTTTGGCGACTTCGTCGTTGGATCCAAGGCCACTCCCAAGCCCAACCCAAGCCAGGACACGGAGAGCTCCTGATCAAAATCCGCTCGACCGCGCTCAACCCAGTCGATTGGAAGATCCATAAATATGGTATTTTTGTTGAGGAGTTCCCCGCAGTCCTTGGGTCGGATCTTTCAAGTTCAGAGGACGTTGTTGAGGTTGGGGAAGGCGTTACCGCTCCTGCAAAGGGAGATCGAGTGTGCGTCATCTTCTATCTACTTCAGCAGCTGCGTATTAACAACACCGAATGTAGCTTCGCTCAAGGTCAAGAGGATATACAAGAGACGACACATACACACGTAGCAACAACGACACATTCCCGATTTGGGCAGCCGGAGTTTTAATCCCCCTAACCACTCACCTAACCTTCTAATCTAACCGAGAACGCGCTACCGCGCGGAGAGAATATATCCCTAAACCTAACCATTAACCCTAACCTCCTAATGAGGATATACGTACAGCAGCACACTCCCCGAAAGGGGATAAGGCTCATCTTCGACACAGTGTCGAAGATGAGAGGACGTGAGCTTGCAAGCAACACAGTTGAACACATCCCAATCGGGTGGGGTGACGAACGCGGTGTCACACGTCACTACCCCTCTCTTCTCACTACCCCCACGAAAGGCAACGAGCATATACCACGACCATCGACGATTGGCCACGAGGACCAACCACCAGGATCGACGGACGACGGTGAGGCCCCACTAACATCCACAGGGCCCACCACCAGGATCTACGAACGACCACGAGGGCTCCACCACGATCGACGAGGGCCCACCACCAGGATCGATGAGTGGCTACGACTGCCGCATTCACGATTGACGAATGGCCACGACGGCACATTACCATAACCGATGGCGAGTGCCCACCACAACGAACGGCCACGGGGGCCCACCACCACCCCCCGCAAACGGACGAACGGCCAAGAGCACCACCAACGATCCCCCAGCCCGCCCCCATCCTCCACCCCCGCTCTCTTCCTTGCAGGCCCCGCCTCGCATACCCCATATCGGCAGACACAACGCGAAACTTCCACCCAAACACGGACGCCAGTTAATGCGACTGTGAACAAACACAAACACCAGCCAGATCCACCGACAGCGAGTGCGGCCGCCGAGGACTCAGTATCGGGGAGAGGGCATGCAGCTTTGATAGGGTAGTGCAGGGATTGCCAACTATAGATTAGCAAGGGGTTATTGAAGGGGACAGGTGGTGTCCCTACCTTCCTCCTACCTTCCTACTTCTACATAGTTGGTATACCTTCCCATATAATTGTTTTTCTCGTACATAAGGAATACATATCATTTGCATATTATACTGCCATTTACCGAGGCTCGAGCACAGAAGAACTTGTGAAAAAAAAAAAATGAAATGAAGTTGCACACATCTGAATGTGTCGAACACACGTAAATTCGACACACTAACGAGGAGCAACACATCAATGTGTCGGCAATTCACCTTATGTGTCGCTTCAAGACCCTATGTGTCGCTGACCCGATTTGGGGAGTGTGTTACTTTTCATATACACTGGCTTTTGAACGTATCTTGATTTTCCGATTCATCGATGCTTACTTGTTAGATCCCTTCGAACTCTCATACGACGATGTCGCAACTCTTCCTGTCTCACTTTCAGCAGCATACGCAGGCCTCTACGGAAATAAGGCACTTGGTGCGGCTTTTGACGCACCTGTTTCTGCGTCGGCCATTGGCAAGTACGTCGACACACTTCTGGTCGTTTTGGGAGGCTCCAGCAGCGTCGGGCGATACGGTTAGTTAATCCTCGCCCTCTAGTCGTGCATTCGTCTTTCTTACACAATATCCAGTCATTCAGCTTGCCAAATATTCTGGTTTCCATCCCATGATCACCACCACCTCCCTCAAACATGCTGACGAGCTCAAATCCCTTGGTGCGACACACGTCATCGACCGCAAGGCGTCTGTTGTTGCAGAAGTCAGAAAGCTGACTGACAAGCCCATCTCGATCGTGTTCGATGCCGTCTCGAGTGCGGATACCCAACAGGCAGGCGTCGACGTCTTAGGTATGAGCCGATGCAAATGCAATGTCTGTAAGTCCCGTAAGCCAAGCGTGCAGATCAACGAGGTAATTACAGTCTATAAACTCCAGTTGGCGCAGAGGAGAGGCTAGTCATGCAACGGTAGACGTTTTGTGCTGTTTATCAGGTGGGCATCCATGGTTTTAGTGACGCTTCCCTTTCTAAGGCAGCATTACGAGAGGGTTCACTCACCCGCACCAACCCCTGCGGCGACCGGCTGCCCCGAACTTCGTGACGACGCCGTTTTTTGGTTCGCCCCACTCAGATCTCAGTACTCCGCAGCTCTACCGACGACCCGCCGTAACGACAATCATCCAACCCAAGAGACTCCGGTGGTGCACAGATGCCTCGTTATGCTTCCAGCATTCGATACTTCGATGGGCAGGACTTTGAATCTTCAATCATACCCGATGGTTCTTGGCGGTTCAAGATTCGACACAGGCCTGACATAGAGTATCGCATTATCGGTTGGAACAACATGACCGCTCCCCTCTTAACGATGAGCTAATTGATTGGTCTTTTGTAGGATCCGTGAGGCGAGGCCCGTGCTGCGGGAAACCAAGATCATCCTTGCGATTCTCATTCCTAGTGGTCCGCTGCAGTGGATCCTTGTCCTCCTTCAGGATATGAACTATGACTGGATCTCGTGCGGATTGGTGAGGACGATCGAGGGAGATGGGCGAGAAGGAATGCGAGGGACGCCGAGAATGGATGACAGGAGGCAGGGCCAGAATGCCGTCTAGCGAGACAGGGATCGCTGAGATTTACTCCAACGGTGGTGAAGAAGCTAGGTATGTGCGCTCGTCTTTTGGCTTTCAATGTAATTTAATGTTTGTTCTAGGTTTCTGGTGGAGTCTCCGTAGTGGATCTCCTGCTCTTGTAACTATCAGCCGAAAAGCGTTGTTTTGTTTCTTTTTCTCGCACTTCTCCGTTGACCGCCGTCCTTTCTGGTGCCTCCTTTCTGGTGCCTCCTCGCTGAGTTGACGCCCAGCCACGCCATTGCGCGTCAACTTCTCGGAGCGCAGTGAGGGATCTCAATCAGGAACAAACGTCAGCTGACTCTGTGAAACGATGGACCCATCTGGACAATTGATGCCGCACAGCATTCACAACTCTCTTCTGAACAACGATGTCTGATTCTAATCGCCCTCGTGAAAATCATTTGAAAGGAAAGTTCAAGGGAATGCTCGACCGGCTTATGGGCGCAGACCGCCCACGTAACGAAGGCTCACGCCCTAGCGGTTCGAGGTTCCAGTTCATGACTCCTACGCTGGCAGATAGCATCCTGACGAGATTTAGGTCCACATTTATGAGGGTGCCGGAGGTTTCGGGGGGAGGAACGTCTCTGGTGCGTGTTTATAATGTGTGAATAAATTCTTTGGCTCATGCCCTTTGTCTTTGGGGATCCTAGAATGCATTCCCTGGAGCTCACAACTTCGTTATAAGGGATACAACACTCTATGTGGCGGAAAATGTGTGTAGTGTGACAACAGCTTTGATTGTTTGAGATATTGATCAGACTTACAAGATTGAGGTCCATGAACATGCCAGTGGGGGTCAAGATGATACACTCCTCGTTCCACAGAGACCCAATTCAAGTGCCTTATTTACAGGCCGTGAGGATGTTCTCAAGAGGCTGATGGATCACTTTTCACCTCAAGATCATGTAGATAGAAGCAGGAAGTCTTTTTTGTTGTATGGTATGGGGGGTATTGGCAAGACACAGATTTGTCTGAAGTTTGTTGAAAAGATGGCTGAAAGGTAAGTTTCTTCACATACTATATTTCTGATCTTCTGACAAGTACATCTAGATTCTCTCATGTTTTCTGGATTGATGCATCTTCTGAAGATACCATTGCTCTTGGTTTAAAGGGTCTTTGTTCTCATCCTGATGCTAAAGCTGCTGGTATTTCTATGTCCTCTCAGTCTGCTCTTCTCTGGATTGGATCTCTGCAGAGTGAATGGCTGCTTGTGTTTGACAATGCTGATGGTGCACCTGAAGTAGTAGAAAAATATATCCCATCTGGTTCTCAGGGCAGTATTCTGGTTACTAGCAGAAATCGATCTCTTGGGCGGGTTACATCTCATGAAAATTCTCTTGAAGTTAATCAGATGGCTGAAAAGGAAGCTATATCACTTTTGCTGAAAGCCAGCCATCTAACTGGGTGTTCTGAGGATGTCTACAGCACAGCTCAACAAATTGTACATGAGCTCTGCTGCTTACCTCTAGCTGTTGATCAAGCAGGAGCTTCCATTGAAGCTGGTCTCTGCAGTATTGATAATTATCTTGAGCATCTCTCTCAACACAGGAACAAGCTTATGAACCACCCTTCATTCAGGGGTGCATCTCAGTACAACCGAACAGTCTATGAAACATGGGATTTGTCTTTCAATGAGATTGAATCAAGGGCAGGCAAGAAATCTGGTGGAGATGGTAGAGCAGCTGCTCAGGCTGCACTTCTTATTCTGGAAACTGCTGCATTTCTGCATCACGAGAATATAATTGAGGCTGCTTTTAGAAAAGCTGCTATTGAGTCCTCTAAAGGACAGCATGGCAAATTTGAACGAAAAGTCAAAAAATGTGTTAGTCAGTTGCTTCAGCTTGAAAAAGATCAGTCTTGGAATCAATTCTTCTTTCATGAAGGAATTAGGGTTCTTATGACATTTTCTTTGATCAAGCAGCAATCAACCTCTCCAGGAATTTATGCAATTCATCCATTGGTGCATCAATGGAGTAGAGATAGAATGACAATATCCCAAAAGAAGCGAATGATGCAAGTGTCAAAATTGATCATTGTAAACTGTATCACAGAGGAGATGACAACTGAAAACATGGCATTCAACAGGCTTCTTGTGCCACACATCAAAGCCATTTATCAGTCACAGGAGGAAAATGGCTTTGAAAGAGTGTTCAATGATATTGAATATTTCAAGTTTAGTTATGTGTTGGATCAAAATGGAATGTGGAAAGATGCAGAGTATTTTCAATATAAAATTGCAGAAATGAGAATAAAGAAGCAGGGGCCAGAACATCCAGATACCTTGCATAGCATGAATAATCTTGCAGTGACATATTCAAATCAAGGAAAATATGAGGAGGCTGGGGAGCTGCAGCTGAAAGTCCTGGATCTGTGTAAAAGAGTACTGGGGCCAGAACATCCAGCTACCTTGGGTAGCATGAATAATCTTGCAATGTCATATTCAAATCAAGGAAAATATGATGAGGCTGGGGAGCTGCAGCTGAAAGTCCTTGATCTGCGTAACAGAGTACTGGGGCCAGAACATCCTGATACCTTGGGTAGCATGAATAATCTTGCATTGGCATATTCAAATCAAGGAAAATATGAGGAGGCTGGGGAGCTGCAGCTGAAAGTCCTTGATCTGCGTAACAGAGTACTGGGGCCAGAACATCCAGATACCTTGGGTAGCATGAATAATCTTGCATTGACATATTCAAATCAAGGAAAATATGAGGAGGCCAGGGAGCTGCAGCTGAAAGTCCTTGATCTGTGTAAAAGAGTACTGGGGCCAGAACATCCAGCTACCTTGCGAGCATGAATAATCTTGCAATGTCATATTCAAATCAAGGAAAATATGATGAGGCTGGGGAGCTGCAGCTGAAAGTCTTGATCTGCGTAACAGAGTACTGGGGCCAGAACATCCTGATACCTTGGGTAGCATGAATAATCTTGCATTGGCATATTCAAATCAAGAAAAATATGAGGAGGCCAGGAAGCTGCAGCTGAAAGTCCTTGATCTGCGTAACAGAGTACTGGGGCCAGAACATCCAGATACCTTGCGTAGCATGAATAATCTTGCAGTGACATATTCAAATCAAGGAAAATATGAGGAGGCCAGGAAGCTGCAGCTGAAAGTCCTTGATCTGCGTAACAGAGTACTGGGGCCAGAACATCCAGATACCTTGCGTAGCATGAATAATCTTGCAGTGACATATTCAAATCAAGGAAAATATGAGGAGGCTGGGGAGCTGCACCTGAAAGTCCTGGATCTGCGTAACAGAGTACTGGGGCCAGAACATCCAGCTACCTTGACCAGCATGAGTAATCTTGCATTTACATATTCAAAGCAAGGAAAATATGAGGAAGCTGCACAGCTGCAGCTAAAACTCCTGGATCAGCATAATAGGGTTGTAGCAGCATAGTATCACTTACCTACTTCTTGCATGACAATTACATTGTATTTACATTTGTTTGCCATTTTGTATATTGTACCAAGTTCTTATCAAATCAAGTCCACTTGAAACCACACCATGTATATTGCATGTGGATGCTCCTGTTCAATCCTCTACACATGACTCTGATCTCCAGAACCATGTCTCCCCCTCCCTTCCACCTCCACTATCTGGAAATCCTGGACTTGTTGTAGTCTGGGCCTTGTGGTAAGGTCAACATAGGTGTAAAAATAATGGTCACATTTTGTTCCCACGGACCGCATCACATTGTAAATTAGTTGTGCTTCATCAATGAATTATACATGTTTTCCCTGGCAATAATGCCTGAAACACCTGCAACCAAAAGGTTTACATTCAACTCTGCAGAGGGGCAGGCCCTCTGCCTCCAAATCCAACATAAACACCTCCCATCTGGTCCACATGACTACTAACTTCAGGGTATTACCTCAATGCTCGACGGAAACAACCTCCTTGCAATCCCAGCAATGGAATCAGGGAAATCTATATTTATATACATACATGGTTATGCATGCCATACTTGCTATCCTGGAGGATCCTACCCTTTGTCCAACCACAAAATTTCCCTCCAATCCAGCCATTCTTGCCATATATCTGACAACTGCACTTGAGGAAGACAATACTTATCACTCCTCCACCTATTCCTACCAGACTCCTACTGGACTCCTGGATTCCTACTGGATTTTAACATTCTTTCCAGAAAAGCATTTTCACATATGTCTTAATTCCCCCTCCTACTGGACTCCAATTGAACTTAAACAAAGTGAATGCAATGTTTCAGAGATGGGATTCCTACTGGATTCCTACTGGAGTAACCACTTTCTACCTTATGCCACCTTAAAAGTTCATACAAAGCTGATATTTGAACATAGAATATTATATTGATAAATATAGACATAATTATATACAAAAAGTATTTTACTAGGGAAGGGGGTAGAAGGAAATGGGGGTGGACAGGGAAAGGACAGGGAAAAGGAAGGGGGAAGGGACAGGGACAGGGGGGAAGGGATAGGAGGGACAGGGGGAGGGGGAGGGGAAAGGAATGGGGT